AGAGGCTTTCTGGATTCACAGAGCATAGACCATCACAGGAGTCAGGTACCTTGCTCATGGGGTCCAGACCAGAGCCATCTACTGAAATCCAAGTCATACCACAGTGATGACTGATGAAGGTCAAATGCTTATGTGCACATATCAAATATTAAATCTGAAACCAAGTACTTGTAATGTAGAATACATTTTTTAGGTTAAAAAAAGACACATTGGCTTTTGTTGGTAGTTTGAATGAAAAAATATCTCCCATAGGTTCAAAGATTTGAACATTTGATCCCCGGCTGAGGTGCTGCTTGAGGAAAATTATGGAGCTTTTAGGGATATTCCTTGCTAAAGGAAATCACTAGGGCTGGTGGGGTAGGCAGGTCAGAAATGTTATAGCTTGGTCCCAAGTTCCCAGTATCTTTGTGTGTCTGCCTGTCTGTGTCAGTATCTGTGTCTTTGTGTTTGTCTATGTCTGTCTGTGTGTGTCTGTCTGTGCCTGTGTCTATCTGTGTGTGTGTGTGTGTCTGTGTCTTTGTCGGTTTGTCTCTGTGTGTGTATGTCTGTGTCTGTGTGTGTCTGTGTATATGTCTCTGAGTGTGTGTGTGTTTGTCTGTGTCTGTATGTCTGTCTGTATCTGTGTGTCTGTGTTTGTGTCTATCTGTGTGTGTATGTTTGTGTGTGTCTGTCTATGTGTCTATGTGCGTTCTGTGTGTGTGTGTGTCTGTCTGTCTGTCTCTCTATGTCTGTGTCTCCTCCTCCCCTGCCCCTGCTTCATGCATGTGGATGAAGATGTGATCTCTCAGCTTTCTGCTCTGACCACCTGCTCTGACCCACCATTTGGGACTCTCTCTGGAACCATACAAAGTTTTTCTTCTATAAGTCACTTTTGTTCATATTTTATTACAGCAACAAAAAGGTAACTAATACCCCTTATCTTAGACATTTGCCTATCAGTCAATTAGCATATATATATATATATATATATATATATCAGAAGATACTTAATTCTAGAATCAAATCAAGAATGTTTTCCTTATCAATTGCTTTAACAAATAATTTTCACATCTCTTGAAAATGGTAGATGAGTGGACATGGAGCAGCAGGGCTTAGATGTGTTTATTATCCAGGCTGAAGGTCCAGGAAAGGTCCAGGTCCCCACCAGTGTAGCACATTGGCTAATGCAATGCTCAGACAAGATCAGTCAGTGAACACTGATGTTCAATATTAAAATATGCTTCAGGAAATGTTGGCTAATCCAATTCCATGTCTGTTTTTATCATCACTTATACACTCAGAGGGTTATTGGGTACTTCATGAAATAAGCCAGACATGAGACCTTCTATATATTTTTTGTTTTAAAAAAGTGGCACTCAAGGGCATAGCTATTCCTAGGCTACAAAGAACTGCTGTGGGCTAAGGAGGTGGTTATGTCAGTAAAGTGCTGGCCGAGCAAGTGTAGGACCTGAGTTTTATCCTCGGGACTCATGTAGAAACCTTGGCATGGTGGGGTATGTTTGTAACCCCAGTTCCAGGGAGGCAGAAACAGGGCTCATTGTTTAGCCAGCCTATCAGAGGAAGCAAGCCCAATGTCTCAGTGAGAAAGAGTATCTCAAAACACAGGTCGCAAGAAATGACACTCAGTGTTGTCCTCTGGCACAGACGCTCATACGCACACAAAGAAGAAAGAGGGGGAGGAGGAAGAGGAGGAGGAAGAGAAGAATTGGCACAAATAATTGTAGAAGTACCCAACTATAGTGACATGGCAAGAGTCCGCCTCAGCATTTTATAGTAGCACTTATCTATTTGGGGAACAATGGCTTTAGAAAGTTGAGAAGACAAAGTCACAGACCGGGAGAAAACATTTGCAAAGGACATGTTTCAAAGGATTATTAATTATCTAGCCTCTAAAAAGAATGCCTATAACTCAACAACAAAAAGAACGATTTGATTAAAAACTTGACCATGGTCCTGAACAGGTACATGGGCAAAGAAAACTTACAGCTAGAAACCAAGCATAGGAGCACATGGTGTCATTAGGGAATTGTAAATCAGGACTACAATGCGATTCTATAATGTACTTCTCAGAGCAGCCCAAATGTAAAATACTGGAGACGTGACGTGTCATTCACTGCTGAGGCCACAGCAAAGGGAGAGGCACACTGGAGACAGCACAGAAGTCCTCGCAAAAGTAGACACGCTCTCACTGTACAGCCATCGTACACCCAGGGACAGCTGTCGATGTTTGCACAAATAGCTTAAAACCTCATTCCAGGGGCTGGAGAGAAGCCCAGTGGTTCTGCTCTTCCAGAAGGCCCAAGTTCTGTTTCCAGCACTCTAGTCGCCTGCAGCTCCAGTTTGAGGGGACCCAGCACCCTCTTCTGGCAATGCAGGCACAAGCATGCACACATATAGACACATAAATAATAAATTCAGGGGCTGGAGAAGTGGCTCAGCAGTTAAGAGCACTTGCTACTCTTGCAGAAGACTGGACTCAGTTGTTAGCACCCACATGGTAAGGTCACAATCATTAGTATCTCCAATTGCAGGGGATCTGATACCCTCCTCTGGCATTCACAGGCACTAGGCACACAGGTGATACATATACATATATGCAGGGAAAACACATTAAATAAAATAAATAAACCTTTAAAAATGGAAAATAGATAAATAAAATAAGTTTAAAATTAAAAACTTAATTCCACACAAACACATACATAGAAACATTTATAATACCTTTATTGGTAATTGCCATAACTTGGAGACAACCAGGCTGACCTTTAGCAGGTGAATGAACAAACGAACTGTGCTACATCTATATGGAATATTACCCTGCACCTAAAAGACACGAGTGGTAAAGGCTTGGAGGAATCGAGGCCACTCTGAAAAGGCTGTGTACAGTATGCCAAGTCTATGACACTGTATAAGGGCAAAATCACCATGAAAGGAAAAAATAATGAGTGACTGGCATGGCTGAGAGGAAGGAAGAGGTAAATGGGCGAAGTACAGAGTGGTTAGAGCTGTGGAACTATTCTCTATAATGTTATAATTGTGGACATGTTATTATGCAAGTGCCAAAGCCTATTCAGTGTATACCACGGGTGCATTCCAATGTCAACGATGGTCTTTATGTGACAATGTAGGCTTATTATTGTGACACCTGACTTAAGTAAACCAGACTAGCTTACCCAATCATTTTTATGCTGTTAAAGTCTCCCTAATAAGTTAGACTTATGTGTAGGATTTTGAAGACTGGCTTTTGAACTAGAATGTGGAAAAAGTTTTGTACATGTTTTCCTTGTAAATATAGTAAAAGATGCACCCAGGCAATGTGGAAAGCTCTGGTGTTTTGGTAAAGGCCAATTATAAGCTGCTGAGAGGTTTCTTAGAATAACCACATATTTATAAGTTTGTTGGCCCAACCATTTCTTGCCTTGGGACTTTATAGAGCTGTGTCCTTGAAGACAGTGGCAACTGTGTCCTGCAGATGAACCAGGCCCCCAAATTCTTCCCACTTTCTCTCACCAGCCAAACTCAATAGCTGCATCATGGCTCTGTGGCAATCTATTTCTACTACCTATCCAAGACTACATATGTAATATGCTTATAGTAATTAAAGCAACCAGTGAGGAATATAGTACAGTTTTTTTTTGAGACAAGGTTTTAAATAGCCCAGCTAACCTCAAACTTTTTTTTTTTTTTTTTGAAGCTGCAGATGAGCTTGAATTTCTGACCCTCCTGCACCCACTCTTGGGTGTGCATCACTGCACCCATGCTTGGGTGCCCACCACTGTGCCCACCACTGTACCCACACCTGGGTGCCCACCACTGCCCCAACCACTGTGCCCACCACTGTGGTGTCACAGATGTTAATGAACACCAGGCGTGCCATCAACAGAGCTAAACCCTCAGCTGCCAGCTTGACTTACAAAGCAGGCTATTTTAGGGACAGGGCATAGCATGTTTCTTCTCTACAGAAAGCTATTTGATTTAAATGTGACTTTGTGTTCTTAATTTTATATTTTACATTTCAAGAGCCTAAAATACTGTCTTATCAATGTCTGTAATTGGTGGTCTTGATATCAGCTGAGGTTTCACAGAGGGATAGAAAGATATGGCTGTTCCTTATCACCCCCCCCCACACACACACACATTGTTCCCTGTCTGTGACACCAGTCACAGCTCTATTTCTTTCGCCCATCATTAAGAGGGTTTTAGGAAAGGAGGAAACACTTTCTGTCTCAGGAAGTAGTTCTGTATTTTAGGGCAGATAGCTGTTGTTTGAAAGTCTTATAACTGTGTTGATGGTTAAACATCAGAAACGGAATTAAAATATAAATCCTAAATACAATAAAAAGAGAAATTAAAATATAAATGAGTGTATTTATTTGTAGAAAAAAAGAATCAAGTCTTCCTGTAATCTTTTCCTTCCATAAATAGACAGCATATACTAAGAATTCATGCACTATCCCAAACCAAGTTCCCACACAGCCCTTAAATGGTATCTGCATGCAATTTCCAATTAAACGAATTTGTAATGTCTTCTTACAGTTGGAGCCATTGTAACTCAGACTTGCTTTAAATTATTTATATTTTTTGTATCAACATTGCTATGGAAACAATCTTTAACAGTAACTTAAACTTCATACATTTAATTAATATCCAGAAGTCGGTTGGAAGCTCGGGGCCTTTAACTTTTATTTGCTTTAAATTATTTAAGGCTGTTTCGGGTACTTAGTAGCCTGTTATTTTAATCATAATTTTCTGTTTCCTGTGATTTTAAGGTATTACTGTATTGGAATCTCAAACGATCACTTCTAGTTTTTTTTTTGGTTGGTTGTTTTGCTTTTTTATTCGACTTCCTGGCAAAAAAAAAAAAAAAAAAAAAAAAAAAACCCAAAAAGCAAAAAACGGGACATCATAACACTGGCCTTCACTTCAACCCCTGGGCACCGAATTCGCCACTGAACAAATCAGCTCTCAGAAATGAGCGTTCTGGCACCGTCTGATGCTTTTGATCCCCGCGGGCTGCCGTAGGCAAGGAGGCCGCTGATTGGGTGAGACAGGAAAGCGCGCTGCCGGGGGCGGTTTCGGTTTTCGCCGCGCGCGTCCGCGGAGGCCCGGCCTGTGAGGGCTCCGGATCCGGCTGCGAGGTGAGTCTGCGGCCCGGGAGGGGCAGTGGGGGCGGGTGCGTGCTCGGAGCGGAGCGGTCGGCCTAGGCCGCGGAGGGCCGGGGCCGGGCGGGGGAGCGGCTGGAGCCCAGCCCGGGCCTGCGGCCAGGAGAAGGCCGCCCGGGCCACGCGGCCTCGCGCTCCCGCGCCGCCGTGGTGCGCGCGCCCGGCGCTGGCTGTGGTAGCGCCCGGGCTTAGGTGGCGCGTCACTCCCGCGCCCTCCGCCGCCGCCCGCTCAGTGCGCGCAGGGAACCCCACGTAGGGCGAGCGGAGGAAATGATCCTTGCTGAACGCTTCCGTCTGCCAACTCCTTTTCTCTTGTGTATACCGGTTTCTGCTTCAGCTAGTATTACCAGTGATATTCAGATTTCTGTTTGCATTAAACAGATATAGCACGGTGTAATTTTAAAATTCATTTCTTTTGTTTGGCCCCCTGTTTTAGCATTGTGTGGGTCCCATAAGCTACTCAGGTGTTTGCCTGATTGTTTAACTCGGATGCATTTCCCACCCTTAACTCCTTATTTCTCACAATCTCCTTGGACAAGTTCTCAGAAGAGAGGTTATGGGGTTAGATCTGTGTTTCTAACAGTAGCAAACACAGCACAGCCTCTCCTCGGAATCATTACTGCTGCCGGGGAACTTGTTTAAAGTTACACGGTGTGGTTCAGTCTGGCTTTGAACTCCGGATCTTCCAACCGTGTGGTTCCGGGGTTACTTCAGACATTGTTTATTTTTTATTGTAGTGCCTGAAGTTCTGCGGTCAAGGTTTTGCTGCTGAATATTCGGGGGAGTGGTAGGGAGAGAGAGAAAGAGAGAGAGCTGGTATTAACTGTGTGGTAGGGGAGAGAGAGAGAAAGAGAGAGCTGGTATTAAGTGTGTGTGTGTGTGTATTATTGCACAAGTTAACCAGATGCTGGGACAGGAAGAGACAGTCAGTAATCATCTAGCATATGACTCCGTGTGTGTGTGTGTGTGTGTGTGTGTGTGTGTGTGTGTGTGTGTGTGTGACAGGAAGAGACAGTCAGTAATCATCTAGCATATGACTCCGTGTGTGTGTGTGTGTGTGTGTGTGTGTGTGTGTGTATGTGTGTATTACTGCACAAGTTAATCAGATGCTGGGACAGGAAGAGACAATCAGTAATCATCTAGCATATGACTCCATTATTTTGCAGATGAGATTGGGGCCATGAGAGGTGAGATGGGTAGCAGAGGAGATTAGAACTCAGGTTTCCTGCCTCCCAAGTGAGTACCCTTAACTACTGCTTCTCTCACTGAAGGGTGGCCTGGTAGAAATTAAAAAAAAAAAAAAAAAAAAAAAAATCCCTGGCTTGTTTTCTCCTTTTATAAATGAAGGACTGGAAAATAGAAAAGTCACTTTTTTTGTGTGTTCAGTAGAAATTTACTATTTAGAATGTCAACCCCTTCAAGATTTTGATGGCTGTTTTTAGGTTCTCTGTGTAGGAATAAAATACTCCTGATAAGTAATGCAGTTGTCCCTCAGTATCTGAGAGGGGCTGGGTGCAGAGCTCCCAATACCAAAGAGTACATGGATGTTTAAAGTTCCATATGTGTGTTTGCATGTAAGCTATGCAGTCTTCCCATGCTGTTCACATCATCTCTACATTACTCACAATGTGTAGTAGGATGTAAGTGGTTGCAGTGGAGTATTGCTTAGGGAGTGATGACAAGGGAAAACCCTTTAACTCTGTAACAAGTAAAACCATTGGAATTGGAATTGCAACTTCATGTTAATAGATGTTGGCTGGACCCACAGATAAGGAGAGGTGACAAGCTTATGTACATATCATCTGGTTCTCATTTACATTTGATTATTCTAAAGTACCTTGCTTGTTGTTTAAACGAGAAAATAAGGTTTGAAGAGGAGGGAAGGAGGTGGTGGTGAATAGGGCTTTTTGGCAAACATTTTGTCCGTTGACGTGTTGGACCATATCATCCTTTGTTATAAAGGACTAGCCGCTACACCAGTGGTTTTCAACCTGAGGGTTGAATCCCTGTTGGGGGGGGTTAAAAGATCCTTTCATGGCAGTCACATTTCAGATATTTATATATTATTCATAATAGTAGCAACATTACATTTATGAAGTAGCAATGAAATAATTTTATGGTTGGGGTCACCACATATAAGGAACTGTATTAAAGGGTCTTAGCATTAGGAGGGTTGAGAACCACTGTTCTACACTGTGTATTGTTGAGGGATGTCCTTGGCTTCTCTCTTCACTAGGGTCTAGTTCCCACTTTCCTATCATGACAATACAGAATGTCTGTAGACATTTCCAAATGTCCCTGGAGGGTGGGGCACAAAAATCATCTCTGGTTGAGAACAGCTTGCAAAGTGCTTATGGCCAAGCCTGGCAACCTGAGCTCAATTCCTGGACCCCATTTAGTATAAAGAGAGAACAGACTCCCAGAAGTTGTTCTGACTTTGTTATATAAAATTAAATAAAAAAATTATATATAAAAAAAAAGTTGTTCTCTGGCATCCATATGCATACTGTGGCATATGCTTATTGCCTCTGCCCCACTAAATAAGACACATGAATAGCAATAAAAACAAAAACTAAAGGACAGCCTTTTGGCTGAGTAAGCTTCAGAAATCTGCATTTTAACAGGCATCTTTGCACATGTGGATGTCTCATCTTGTAAGCAAGTGCTCCTGCTTTCCTTGTGTTACCGGTCATTCATGAAGGTCTTACTGGTTAGCAGCTGTGGAGTAGCTGGACCTGTGGTGTGTAGGTTGGTGGGGAGAGATTGGGACAGGGCTTTTGTTTGACACTGGCTTTGAATGCTTTTTCCACAGACTTACTCAATCTGTTAAGGTGCCAAGGCTACCTGTCCCCTTCAAGTTTAAAAATGTCTGTAGGACGCTGGCTCTAACATGCTTAGCATACCATTGGGAGAATAAAATTGACACATACCATATATACCTCCTTCCCTGCTTCTTCACTCTCGTTAACTTTGAAAAAAGCCAGTGTACAACAGATGCTATCATACTAGACCTCTTGGTGGCTTCTGACCAGAAATAGAGTGCCACTTATGAAAACAGGTCACTTAAAACAAGCCTGCATAGGAATCGGGGGAGGGACTGGAGTCATAGAGAAGGTGAGTATATTTGATTTTTGAAAGGAGTTTTACCAAGGTGACCCTGACAGAAGGAAGTCCTTTTCTTGTGTTTATGGTTCAAAAGTCTTATCTCTTGCTTCAAAAATTGTCAAAACTATTCCTTCTGCCTTATCCAATTTAAAAGATGGAAACTTAAAATTACTTGAGCCAAGTGATGAGAAAAATTGTGGTGCCAAGACCAATTTACTTGTACAAAATGAATTTATGGGCAAGTCATTAAGTACCAGGAAGTACGAGGAACCTAATGAAGAGTGATGCAAAGGGCCTGGCTTCCTCGGTACAACGAGTTTGAGTTTGAGGCAGCCATACTCGTTCCAAATAACTTCAAAAGTGCCCTTGTGTAGCCATGTAATAGAATGTACTCTAGGGAACAAATGAGGGACTTGCTTGTAGCTCATCCTTTCCTTGAAGTCTTTAGAGACAAAGACTTGTCCTTTTTATAAAGTGTAGATAGTGACACATACGGGAGAAAACAAGAAGCAAAGGACTACAGGAGTCTGAATTAATGATATGTGCTCTGCCACTTGAAAAAGGAAGCAGGACCCAAGCAGATTCCTGCTGAGGGTTTTCCTGTGCCCTTTTTCTGACCATGGTGTCCTCCAGCTAGCCAGTTCATGAGCGTCTAGGTTCACAAAGACAGACATGCCATGCTGGTCCAGACCTGCTGGACCTTCTAATAGTCCACCGACTCCAGCTGGGAAGCTAACCCAGAGCTCATGCTTCTGCTACCCAAGAATGAATGTGGCCGTGGTGAATTCCAACAGCTCTCTCCTTACTGCATGTGTAGACTTTCTTTTCAAACCCACAGTACCCAGTGCCTTTGCCTTCTCTTTTTGCTGCTAGCAGACTGTTTGTTGTGTTTGGCTTCCTCTGATGTGCCATGTCTAGGCTCAGTCTTCTTTTAGTGGACCTCTGTATGTAATGCTACCCGTATGCATACAGCCTTTTTGAAATTTGCCACATCTGTGTGAGTGAACTTACTCTAGAGAGTAAATTCCAAGACCCTGTCTTACCTGGTACAGCCCTTACCTGCATCTGAGGTTTTAAAGCAGTGAGTACTGTTAAGCCTAGGGTTGTATTTTCTTCTTTCAGTAGCTTTTCATATGAAAATATAATGCTGTTAGCCATGAAATTAACAATCCTTGCATTTACCATGAACTAGGTTTTCAAAAAGTGTGTGTGTGTGTGCGCGCGCGCGCATATGTATCCATGCATTCCCATGTGGTGACCTTGGTTGATTTTGATGAGTTTCACAAAGCTCTCCACAGGGTCTCTCAGTGATCCTGGAGCTCACTGTTTGGCCTAGACTGGCTGGCTAGCACACGGCTGGGATCCTCCTGTCTCTGCCCCCTAGTGCCAGAGTTACCATGTGTCTCAGTGTACCTAGCTTCACCCGGTGCTGTGGAGCCAAGCTCGGGTGGGTCCTTTTGCTTACAGCAAACACTTTACCGCTGAGCCAACTTTCCAACCCTGCGAGGCTTGAGTTTTGAATGCACATAGACAGCCTTCTTTATTTCAGATTGCACATGGGGGAACCAGCCTCTCTGGTAGGAAGTAATCCCAAGAAGTTTTAGCTATAAAACAGTGCATGTGCAAGACACAGGCATATGGCTTGTAGATGAATGGGAAGATTTGTTTGTTTTTACTAAACTCATGAAAAGCACTGAATCTTTACAGTATTTACTTAGCCATTTTTTGTTCTTTAAACTCAAACAACATAAATAAAATTGTTGTGTGACCAGCATCTTGAATAAATAGCAGTTGTAATTTTAGTTATTTGTTAAGAAAATGAACTGACAACTTAATGGAAAAGTTCACATTTGCTGAGCAAAATAATCAGTTGATTTTTTTTTTTTTTTTTTTTTTTTTATTCTTGTTTGGGGATAGCTACGGATAGTTCAAGTGATAATTTCTAAAGTTTATATTTTCTTCTGTTTAACCTTAGTACTTGGCTTCTTGGGTAAGAGAATATTTACCTTAAATTCTTGTCCCTTTGATTTATTCCTGCCCCTTAACACAGAGAATCCTGGATTCTGAAGTAAAAGTCGGGCATATAGTTTATACACTTCTGTTGAACTGATGAAATATGTGCCATCTAGGACTCCAGCTTCACCAAGTGGCTAATCCCGCATGCATGAACTTGGACAGCATCCTCACAGCATTGATGGATTGGGTGATATACTCAGAGTGAAATCAACAGTGCTGTTTGTGGAAGGTTTTAATTGAAAACCACAATGTAGGATTAGGGATAGGGTAAATCCTTAACATACTGTGAAGCATGGTAGCTACAAAAGAGTTTTGCTGAATTTCACTAAAACAAAAACAATTTCCAGTTTCTGGCTTCTGCTTAAGTGACTAGTATTTTCCTTTATTTATTGAAATACTTTTTGAGGGGGAGCTATCGCATAACAGGATAAAGTTTGAAAGACTTGATGGAACTTAACATACCTGGGTCCAGTTATTAGACTCTTAGATATGAACTCTCATGACTTTCCCCTTGTTGCTCAGAGCACTCCAACCATAATTGTGACTGAACTTCTGTGACCTTGGGCGGGGTGTTTAGTGACCTCTAAAATGAGACTAAAACAGTACCTACCAGTCTGGGGAGGCAGCTGTTAGAAAAAGGGTTTGCTGAACAAGCGTAAGGAACTTCAAATCCCTTGCACCCATGTGGAGAGTTGAGCAGGCAGATGAGGGTCTGGGGTAACTGCCTGGCCAGACAGTCTAGCAAAGTCTGTGAGCTCTAGGTTCAGAGAGAAACTCCATCTCAAAAAATAAGGTGAATAGGAACTAAGGAAGATGTCCATCAGCCTCTGGCTTCCACACGTGTGTGCACTCGGGAGACACATTTTCACACACTAACTGCCTCATTGAATCAGTACGTGGGCAGTGCCGGTGTGTATATATTCACTTTTTAGGTTTTAATTATGACTTCTCAGAGAAATGTTTAGATGTTAGTTGTTGGTGATGGTGAGTGGGTCCACTTTGTATAATGTGGGCTTTAAGTTGGATTTAACTTAAATATTCTACCATATTTTTGTTTCACCACAATTTGGCAGAAGTTATTTAATCTTTCTATTCTGTTTTCATCAGTAAAATGGGAATGTTATGCCTTTCTAGGGTTGAGATTGCATGTTGTATTTATAGATGTTAATAGAGCTGTTGGCATAGAACAAATATTACTTGGCTGAGGTGGTGGTGGCTATATGGGGTCATGTGTATGCCACAGCAGGACAGGTGACTAGGAATAACTGCTCTGTAATCAGCTCCAAGGCTGCACGTGGGCTGCCTGAACTCAGGTCAGCTGTCAGTGCTGCAGTAGGCATACAGAGTGCTTTGATGGCCCAACTCCTGTGGATATGTTAAAGGCCCAAGAGTTTAGTTTGCTTTTATTTTGTTTTATTAACTTTAGCCTGTACATTCATTGCTCTTTCCTATCTCTGACCAGGGTTGTTAACAATGAGTCTGCGGAAACAAACCCCTAGTGACTTCTTAAAGCAGATCATCGGACGGCCAGTTGTGGTGAAACTCAACTCTGGAGTGGATTATCGAGGTAGTGTTTAATCCTAACTACTGTAACTGCAATGACAAGCTCTGACTTCTTACTTTATTAGCCTCTTAATATACCCAATAGACCAATTGTTGCTCACTGACAGTTTTCCTGTCTCTACCCCTGAGGTGGTTCCCATTACATCAGTGTGTGCTTCTAACTTGCAGTGTCAGCCATAAACTTTAGGTAAGCCCAAAGAAGAGAAATAGACTTGGGTTTTCCAGATTTTTGACACATGGTAACGTGTGTGTGTGTTACTTTTTCAGCATATACTTTTTAAAGAGGATGTTACTGTCTTAGCCTTTTGTTCTTTTTTCTTTAGGGAAAGTGTTTCTGTTTATAAAAGTAATAATACATATTTTAGTTGGTTGTTTATACCTTCTGGGCAAGTAATGGGAAGCAGTGTTTTACTGTAGTCCCTTGTGTGGAGACAATCCCTGGCCACAGAGCAGGATGGCCCCCTATACAGTTTTTTTTTTTTTTTTTTTTTTTTTTAACTACAATAACCAGTAATGTTCTAGCAAGAAAGGAACAGGGCTGGATTGGGTGCACACCTTTAATTTAGTTCCAGCACTTGGAGCAGAGTGGGTGGGTCCCTGTGAGTCTCCATAGAACAGAAGGGAAAAGAAGGAAAGAGGAAAAGAACCAGTGACAGTTCTCTAGCTTATTGTCTCTTTTCTTGATCTTGGAGAAGAGCTACAGCTTTAACACCCTGAGCAGGGTTTTGTTTTGTGTTAGTTTTTGCAGCATGGGCACAATACTCATGCTAGGTAAAACCTCCTTTTTTATCTTTTAACTTTTTTATGAGATCAGATATTTTTACTAACAGTGAGTAATAGTGGCATTATGTCTTGAATTACCATTTTGGCTAATTCCATATCATTCCTAGAATTTCTTCCTAGTCTGTTAATGTGCTTTAAATGTAACATTGTAGGTAACAAGCAAACTGTGAAGTTATGTTTTGATCGTCCTTTGGCTGAGAAGTAATTGTTGACAGTTGACAACAGTCTAGTCTGATTGTTTGAATTCTGTTCCGCTAATGTGTTGTGCTCTGATTACACACACACGGTTTTGAAAAGAAGCCTCTGTTTAGAGGGTAATGGGGTAGAAGCAGAGAGTGAGGAGCATATTAATGAAGTTAAGATTTTAAATGGGACTATTGACTTACTTAATTGAATTGAATCTGTAGTGTGATTTTATTCTTACAAATATCACTTGAGATTAGAGGCTGAGAATTGGAAGCTTCCTGGCTTTGTCTGGTCAGATTTTAGAAATTTATTCCATCTCCACACAATTAATGAGTCACCAGAGCTGTTTTCCTTGAAAGCTCTCTGGAATGTTTGTAGCCATTTTTCTCTATTAGTTTTGATTTTAAAAATAGTCTAACTCTGACAGAACAGAATGCAATGTGTTATAATGCAATATGTTGCTCTCTGTTCTCAAGCTGCTCTTCGATGGAGTCGCAGCTCTGAGCTGGGCTTTCAGGGGCACCTGCTGTCTATTATCTTAACAGATTGTGGAGACTTCCTCTTAACCCAGAGCACATTCATCTGCTGCAGGAGATGTTGTGCAAGAGTGAGATAAATCTGCCAGATCCATATTTCACTTAGTGGCTGAAGTAACAAATGTCACTGGGTGGAGGCTCATTTGTCCACCCGTAGTTGCTGTATCTGTCCTTAGTTTCCAAAGAAGGGCATTTTGGTTGGGATATTCTAATGCTTATACTTTTGTGAAGGCTTCCAAAGTTGCTGTGGTGATTATACATACCAGGAGGGGAGTGACAGTTGGCTGCCTGTCTTGGAATTGTGGCTGCAGTGACTCCTCTCATGCTATGCCCGTTCAGCCTTCATTTAGATTGGCACAGAGTAAAGACTCCTTTTGTGTTTAAGTCTATTGAGTTTTGTTTACAGTGTGAATTTTTATACTGTGTTTGAAGGCTAATGAATAAAGTGATTGTCAGTTCTAAGATATACCCTGTAATTTTCAATTCTTTCTTACTTTTCTCCAGGGGTCTTGGCCTGCCTGGATGGCTACATGAATATAGCACTGGAACAGACAGAAGAGTATGTAAATGGACAGCTGAAGAATAAGTATGGCGATGCGTTCATCCGAGGAAACAATGGTAAACAGCTTCCTGCTCTATAGTGTTCAGGATAAGCCTTTTCCTCCTGTAATAGAGCACTGGGGAGTTTCTAGATGATGTTAAAGTTCCCCTGTTTGTTTGTTTGTTGTGCTTGTATTTTAGAATTTGGTAGAAAACAGTTCTGTTTGTGCATGGAAAGAGAATTTGCCATGGATGGGAAGTAGACATTCTCTTTCTCACTTTACTAATAAAGAGCTGGGAAATACTGCTTTACTGGCCAGGACCCTGTTATCTTTTCATTTTGTTTTTGAGACAGGGTTTTTCTTTGTAGCCTGGCTGTCCTGGAACTCACTGGCTGGCCTCAAACTCACAGATATCCGTTTGTCTCTGCCTCCTGAGTGCAGGGAAGCGACAGTTGAGAGCAGGACTCTGATGGTCTCACCTGTCAGCAGCTGCATGCTGCCATGCCTACTGTGGCTATTTTACATTCCCTCGTTTAAAGTACAGTTTGTCAATAAAATCATATTTGAATATGTATCAAATTGACTAGCCTACTTTTAGGTTCCATCCCTGGATAGAGCTGGTTTTTTGTTTTATTTTGTTTGTTTTTTATTGATTGCTTTACTTCTGAGTATGAGAAGCTTTTAAAGTTTAGGCTCTTGAAATAAGGTAGATGTACTCTGGGAACAATGCAGATTTCACCATTCCATATAGCACTCATGAAATGTTAATATGCAAGAAATACATGAGAACATAAAAACTTGGTTATCGGGAGTATACCTAAAATACTTAGAAAAGTAAAATATATAAAATGTACAATGGTTTGAGCATAAGCAATATTAAAGTATGTCTGCAACTCAAAAACAGATCCTGACTTTTATATACATCTCTTGCTTGTATTTAAGTAGAATTTTTTCTGCTTTTTATTATTCTTACTTGACTTCCTCCTTTTTACTTGGAAATATGAACTTGTCTCACCTTGGGATAGCTGTCAGCAGGAAATATTCCTACATTGACATCCATCCAGCTTCTCTACTTTGCCTGGCAGTAGCTTTTCTCATAGCTAATGATCCCCTGCGCTTTCCATGTTATGCTTAGTGACAGTTGTCATTATCCTACAACTTGTATTTGGCTCTTAAAGAGGACCTGGGTTCACTTGATTGGTCTATGTTGAGCTCTTTGCCTGAGATATCTACTGTTCACTTAGAACAAGCTTGTCAGTATCTGGGATGTGTTGGCTGGGAAAAGGGGTACACCTGGGGTAATAGCTTGACACCTTTAGCCTGTCTCCATGCAGCTGCCATTCTGTTGTGCTTAGTAAGTTGGCCGTGGTGTGACCAGCTGACTTAAACTTTGGATGACATCAAAGGTTGATACTGATAGCAAACTCAGAATAAGGACTTTTCACTTTTTTCTCCTCTGGAAATTATAAAAGTAAATAGAAATTCTATTTTATACTGGGGAGATAGATGAAAATACACTTTTTTAAAGTGCGTTTGTCTGCTGCTGTAAACATACATGTGTGCCTGGTACTTGAAAGCCGACAAGGTTCCTGGGCGCCCTAGAACTCCAGGAACAGGTGGTTGTGAAGTGTTCTATAGGCACTGAGGACCCAGCTTTGGTGTCCTATAAAGTCTTCAGTGGTTGTAAGTGATGAGCCATCTCCTCAGCCACGAGTGCTAGATCTTGCTTGGACGGTTTAGCTGGTTTCCTCTCCTCGGAGCTTAATTGTGATACAGCTAATTACAAAACATTCTTAAATTCTAGGCACGTTCACTTTGAATTCCTGGTCATAATTTGTAAAGTCAGTAACATGCATAAATAAGACTAGTTGTAATCATGTGAGAGACTCAGACTCTTCCATTGTTTGGTATACAATCCTTTAAATTATGCAGAGGTGTCAGCCAGACCTCACTTGCCTTTGAAACTGCCTCGATGACTTGGAAGTGATTGCTAATTCCTTCTTGTCTTTCAGTGCTGTATATAAGTACACAGAAGAGACGGATGTGAAGACGCCAGGAGCAGCTCTTCAGAGCTGGGTGTATTTTATTATGAAGAGTTTGTTTTGTTTTTTGTTCTTATACACTCTTAGTTGGCCGTTTCCACCATGGTTGGTGTGTTTTGTTGGCTTTTTTAAAATTGACATTGAAAGAAGATAGCAATGTTACATTACAGATTGAATCTTAAACTTTTCGTGTTTGTGTTTACTTCTGTCTGTATAGAGTGCTACAATTAAAAAGATTCATTTTTCCTGGGTTGTTTTACTAGCAGGGTCATTTCATTGAATGGTATGTATTCAGCCAACTGAATGGTGCATCCCTGAACCTGTGATCACAGTATTCTGAAGGCTTCCTTTGTCTCCCCTTCTCTGCTCACCATCTACACCATGGAAAGCAGGTAGATAAAAACCTTCTAAGAAGGCATACAGTTTCAGCCTCAGGCTGTAAAGTGACCAGAGGTCAGAAATTCAGCTGTTGATTAGTCACCTAGCTTGAAAATAGAATTAGGAATATAGTGGTGGTACCCGCACAGCATACTGCAAATCTCTTGATTTGAAAATTATAAGGTTGGCCACACTTGAAATCCTCAAGGCAACCTCCCAGTCCTCCTGTGCAGTTAGACATCTTTCGTTGCCATGTTCCCTTTCAGAGCACGGGCATCATCGTAGATCGTGGTCCAGGCTCCCACCTCCCACTGTAACTCTGGCTGTGGTTGAGGTGGAGTGAAACGCCCAGTGCATAAACTCAGTTTCCAGTGCTGAGGTGAGGCTTGGAAGGACTTGCTCCTGCCCCTTAGCAAATACCCTTGGGGAAAGGGTTGTATTCTGGGGAAGTGTTTCTTGGCACAGGCAGTCTTCAGCATGACTCCTGCTGATCAGGCTTGCACTGCAGAGACTGTGCTCGGTTGCTTTGGTTTTGTGGACACTGGAAGACCATGGGTATTGTTTTGGCTTTCCTCATCCCTCCTTTAGTCTAAACAGAATCGCTGTTTCTTCCTGGTTGAAGGATCTGGGAGTAGATTGGGAGGGAGGGAATGCTTTCAGGAGAGGTGTATATGACATTTGTCTCATTTAAACAGTAACGAGAAACAATTAATAACTCAGGAAAGAGGAGAAATGCTTTGTAATGTTTGATGGTGTGCACACTGAAAATAAAACACTTCACCCTAACCTTCAGTGATTGATCACTTCCTGACAGGGGCTTGAAAAGGGACCAGTGTGTAGGTACAAATCACCAATTTGCTCTTTATAAATGGATGTCTCTCAGAATGGCACACACATGTTCTCATTTGTTTTGTAGCGTGTGTGAGGCTGCCAGGTTACTGTGTGCCTTCATTCACTCCAGCAGCTGTCTCTTCCAGTGTGTAAGATCCCTCCTGGCTTTGCTCACCTCTTCCCTGTCCTCTCCTCCAGTGTATAGCATTCCAGCTTTGTTCACCCCTTCACTGACCTCTCCTCCAGTGTGGAAGTCTACTTCCCTCTTACCATTTCCAACTTAATAGCTCTATTGTAGGGTAGTGTTTTTACCCACAGACCCGCTTTTAATCAAGAATGACTCTGGGGAGTGCCACCATTTTTTGGTAATAAAGGATAATATTATGCACCTGGACCAGTACACATTTTTCCTGTACATACCTTTATGTGATAGAATTCTGAAACAGATTGTAAATGCTAAAATTATCTTTTCTTAACTGTAGTTTCTTTGTGGTCTGTGAATGGTTTTCAGTTGGGTTATAGAAAAGACAATTGTTGCAGGGTGAAATTTTTTTTTTTTTTTTTGCTTGAGTAAATATATTTTCCTTATCCTTGTACCCCCAACCCTAGTTGCCACCATCTTTCTCTTGGGCTGTGACAAAACAGAATGTTTTGTGGGAAACAGAACTTGTGCTTGGTTTCTAGACTATCTGACTTCACATTTTGTTTTGGTCTGTGAGCTATTCCTTGGCTAATCTTCCAAGCTGAATTGATTCTTACTTCAAATGTGTTTATCCCAAAACAGAGCTGTTGACAAGTACAAATACAGATGGTAGACATGTGGTCTGATTTTCATGTTCTCTCTCAGCGTTCAGAGATGGTTCACATCTTGAGCTTCTTGTTCAAGGCAATTTGTAATACATGCTAGGAGTTCTTAATTATGTGACAAATAGAACAAAGGCTTAAGGGGTTTCCTTAAGGTCTGAAAACAGCAGCATCAACTTGTGTGTGAGGCTTGTCGCCCCTGAGGATATAGTCTATTTCATTAGAAACAAGCTCTGCGGGAAAATTGTCTTTGAGAATCATAGTGCTCTTGGGGGACAGTATTCCAGGCCAAGCATCCTGTCTGCAGGAGTCTCTCACTGCCAAGTGACATGTCCATCTTTGTGCTGGCTTGTTTTGAGAGAAAGCAGTGCTCCAGAGTGCTGGCTTGCTCTCATACAACAGTCTCCACATGCTGTGACCTTGGAGTTCTCCTGACCAATGTACACTAGTTACTGAGGTTGGATTGTATGTCCTGCCCCAAAACGAACCATCGTGAAAGGAAGGTGAAGTGCAGTTTTTCTAACCCTGATCTCCCAAGAGGGCCCTGCTCAGCAGCACCCATCCCGTTCTAGTAGGTGGCTCCTGACGACCAGTGAACCAGGCTTCTGAGTACAAGGTTAGCTGTGCTGTGATCTGAAAATCCAGCAATAGTTTTCATCTCAGGAGCTGCTGTCTCTCCTACCCTATGTGGCAGAACGGCCATGAGTGTTTCCATTGAGCAACCAGCTGGTACTACTGAAGTCTACTTGCCTAAGAAGGGGCAGGGTGGACAGTATGCATCCCTCGTGTGTGGAGACAGGAGATGGCCCCAAGTGGTGTTTGCTCTGTTCCTTTCTGCCTGGTTACTTCTTGAAAAGTTAGGGGAGGTTACCAAGGGAGGGGACTTGAAGAATGATGTTGATAATCAGCACCTATTGAATGGCAGGTGTGGACAAACTATTATAATATTTCCTTTCTGTGGAAGAGAAGAGTAAATGAGACACTGCCCCCCATAGACCATTGAGGTTCACTTACAAGTATGGCTATTTATGGGACAAAGTATGCCATGCTGTCTTTTTAGATGAGCCAGAAATTTGAAGACAAATCATAAATGGATTTGATCATCTCGACTGTGCTCATAGCTTACAATTTTATATAAACTTGGAACTGGAGAACTTTGAGCTCTGATTATTTCCATCTATCTGTTGTTTCCTCATGGACCTATTCATTTTACTTCCTGTTTTTATACAACCTAACAAAAGCCAGAGTTGTCATGCTGTTTTTTCCAGTTTTAATACTATCATCTGCAGTATTAAAGAATTTTATTTCCTTGGTAGTAGTTTGAGAGCTACACAGCAGACAAAGTGTAGATATATTCTAGAACTTTATAAAATCACACAACATTTGAACAATTGAGATAGAGTAATTTTCAAGGCCTACATTACACAAGAAATGGGCAAGTCCATGTGGACTCCATTTATTGCAAGCCTCCTAATGGAAATAATGCGGTGTGTTTGGCAAAATCTAATTATGTAAAGGGGAACTCAGTTTGTCATAGCCCACATAAAATAACTTCAGAGAAGAAACAAGTTTATTTTTCCCCTTTTTTAAAAAAATTTTATTTTTTTCTTATTTGACGTATTGATCCCAATTTCCTCCCTCCCATGCCCCCTGTTCCTCCAGCGCCGCCGCCCCCCCCCCCCCCCACTGCACAGGGAGGGTAGTGCCTTCCAAGAGGGATCAACAAAATCTGTCAAGTCATTTGGAGTAGGGACTAGGCCCTCCCTCCTGCCTCTAGGCTAAGGCAATATTCCTCAATGGGGAATGTTCTCCCAAAGTTCAGGGATACATCCTGGTTCTACTGTCAGAGGTCCCTTAGTTTGCCCAGGCCTTCTAACTGAGACTCACATTCAGGGGGTCTGAGTCTGTCCAATGCTGGTTTCCCAGATATCAGTCTGGGGATTCATGAGCTCCCCTTGTTCAGGACAGCTGTCTGTGGGTTTCTGTAGCCTGGTCTTGACCCCTTATCACTCCTCCCTCTCTGCAACTGGATTCCAGGAGTTGAACTCAGTGTTTAGCTGGGGGTGTCTGCCTCTGGAGAAACAAGTGTATTACCACAAATTGTATACCTCAGTCCAAATCACCATTCAGTGTTTATATCAGAATACCCATTTCAACAATAGAGGAAAAGCTAAGAATTTGCTATGTGTAACTGTTGAGTAAATGACAGGGAAGGACAGCTTCCCCTCCCAGCTGTTGTGTCATAGAGTGTCTCCAAATCCTAAAGGTCTGAAACAAGCGATACTTCACAGGAGCCATAGGTAAATCTCCATCCCCTCCTCGTGGCCACAGGGGAGAGTATAAAGAATCAGTTCCTAGCTCTTACAGTTCTGCTTAGAATTGATGCTACTCACTTCCACTTGTATGAGCCAAACAAAGTAATGTGGCCATAGCTTTTTTAGATAAGAGTAATCCTTTCTTGTACTCAAGAAAAGAAAACCAGAAATGTAGGCAAAGATTGGTTATACCACCATGTGTGTATCAGTCATGCTTCTCCGTGAAAACCAAACTGATGGTGTGTATGCCGAGTGGGCTACATGGAGGAATTTTGAAGTCCAGCACTTGCAGGTTAAGTCTGCAGCAGAACAGTTGCAGTTTGAGCTTGAGTTACTCAGTGAGATACCCCTCTTCCTAAAAGGATGTCAGTCCTTTTCAAACTGTCACTTGGCTACATGAGGCCCAGCTGCAAGATGAAGGGTGTACTGTTTGGTTCAGTCTTTGCTAAAGTGTTAATCACATTTAGACAATACCCACACAGGTAGGATAGTGTTGTACCACACACTTGGGTATTGTGGCCTAACCCTTTTGTCACAAAATCAGCTATGACTTAACTATATCATTTGTGTCATGGATGTCCTTAATAGCCCTCCATGAAGCAGAGTTCTTAGATTGTTATTGCATTGGAAAGGGAATCCTTTCTTTAAGACTGAATTGAGAGACCTGTGTCCCTAATGCCTTAGTCACGTAATAAG